GGGGCGCCTGGGTGGCTCAGTCGGTTGGGCGTCCGACTTTGGCTCAGGTCATGATCTCACGGTCCGTGGGTTCGAGCCCCGCGTCGGGCTCCGTGCTGACAGCTCAGAGCCTGGAGCCTGCTTCGGATTCTGTGTCTCCCTCTCTCTCTGCTCCTCCCCTGCTCATGTTCTCTCTCTGTCTCAAAAATAAAAACATAAAAAAAAAAAAAAAAAATTTAAAGGATTTTTTTTTATGGTAAAGATTTTTATTTGATAGTAAAAGTATTTGTTTTAAATAAAGATATTTAAGGGGTGTTATTACTGTCTAGCCTCAGGCGGTTAGAATTTGCTGGGTTTATTCACGAGCACTGCAGATCCATGAACTCAACTTTACAAGTTCACTTATGGGAGATGAGACCATAAGGAATTCGAATGGACACTGAAGCCATAAGAAGACCTCCTCACTAACTTATCGAGCCACACCTGAGCAGCAGGGCCCCTCGGGAAGGCTCAAGGGGAATGTGGCCGTTGCTCTGGTCTCCCCTTTGTGGCCTCCACGCTCCCTAAAGATCTCTGGCCTTCTCTTTGCATCCTTCCCACACTCTCTCCTCTTGTGCCAAAAATCCCTCAGGCCATCTGGCCACACAGAAGGCCTGCCACACAAGTCACCAGGCCACATGTCACTTCTCAGCAGCTGGTCTGCGGGAGGTGCCAGGCCCTGTCTTTTGAGGTCGAGGAACCTGAAGCCCTTTTAATCTAGTGAAAAACATTTTTATTAAGGAATTGATTTAAAATGTAGATTAGAAGATACCTAATATATTTTTACTAGTTTGTTAGTTGGGTAAACCAAACTAATAGAAAATACGCTAAATATGACATTCTTGGGACAAAATAAATAAATGGATAAATTGTTCTTGATAGACTAGCACCTCTTTGTTTGTCCTACACTTCTTTATTTTTTAACACTCGTTCATTTATGAGAGACAGAGACAGAGCGTGAGTAACGGAGGGGCAGAGAGAGAGGGAGAGACAGAAAATGAAGCAGGCTCCAGGCTCTGAGCTATCAACATAGAGCCCGATGTGGGCTCGAACCCACTGACCGCAAGATCATGACCTGAGCTAAAGTTAGACGCTCAACCGACTGAGCCACCCAGGTGGCCCATCTTTTCTTATTTTGACTTAAGTAAGCTCTACATCCAACAAGGACAGACCAACACTTCCTGAATTAAAAAACAAAAGGCCTGGCCAGGCACCGTTCTCATTAGGAAGTCCTTCCCGGGCCGCTTGAAGAGCTCGTGGGGAAAGTTCACTGAGGAGAACTTGTACAAAAAGAACCTGCAAAAAAGTAAGACAATTTCCCCCAAAACACCGACACCATCCTCGTAACAAAGAAGCAAATGACTACAGTCTAGAGCGCACTGGCCAATACTGTAGCCACGAACCAAGTGTGGCTCCGTAAATTTATTTTTCCTCACCACGTACTTCACACTTACAGAAATGTTCACTCATTGGGAATGCAAACTGGTGCAGCCACTCTGGAAAACAGTATGGAGGTTCTTCAAAAAATTAAAAATAGAACTACCCTATGACCCAGCAACTGCACTACTGGGTATTTATCCAAGGGATACAGGTGTGCTGTTTCGAAGGGACACATGCACCCCCATGTTTATAGCAGCACTCTCGACAATAGCCAAAGGATGGAAAGAGCCCAAATGTCCATCGATGCATGAATGGATAAAGAAAATGTGGTATATACATACAATGGAGTATTACTCGGCAATCAAAAAGAATGAAATCTTGCCATTTGCAACTATGTAGATGGAACAGCAGGGTATTATGCTAAGCGAAATTAGCCAGAGAAAGACAAAAATCATAAGGCTTCACTCATAGGAGGACCTTAAGACACAGAACAGATGAACATAAGGGAAGGGAAGCAAAAATAATATAAAAACAGGGAGGGGGACAAAAGCATAAGAGACTCTCAAATATGGAGAACAGAGGATTACTGGAGGGGTTGTAGGAGGGGCGATGCACTAAATGGGTAACGGGCATTAAGGAATCTACTCCTGAAATCATTGTTCCACTATATGCTGACTTGGATGTAAATTTAAAAAATAAATAAAAATTAAAAAAATAAGTTAAAAAAACAAATGTTCACTCGTCATGGACAGAACAGTATTATCAACACCCACGTGCCACTCACCAGCTTCTACAACGACCAACTCACGCCTTCATGACTCCTCTGTACCCTCACCACTTCCCCTCTGCCCTCACACTGGTTTGCTGTTGTTGTTGTTGTTTTTTAATAGCTTTAGTAAGACGTATTTTACATATCACAAAATTCACCCATCTCAAATGTACAAGTCAACGATTCCCAGTCACTTTATCAAGTGGCGTGGCCATCACCACATTGTGGACATTTTCTTGCCTCCAATAAGATCCCTTGTGTCCTTTTACAGTTAATTCCCATTCTTACCTCCAGCCCCAGGCAATCACTATTGAATTTAAATAAAATAGAACTTAAAATTCAGTTACTCAGTCTCTCCAGCTACATTTCAAGTGCTCAATGGCCACATCTGGCTAGTGGCTACTGTATTAACACAGAATATTGCCATCATCCCAGAACCTTCTACTGAACAGCCCTGAACTACAATGTACATATTCAGAAATGCAGAGACAACTCAGAAAAACGGAGGAAAACTCAACAGGGAATGTGGTAAGTCGGAAGAGGAGGCAGAAATGAGGAGGGAAAAGTGCCTTGGGTGCGAGCTACCAGGCAGAGGAAAAATAAAACTTCAGGTGCAACGCAAAAGAAGAAGAGACTGTTTATACATAATAGCCAAGGAAAAAGAGGACAAAAGAACATGAGAAAGAAACTCAAAGAAGCAGGGCCGGGACCAGGGAAACACAAAAATAACCTGGTCCTCTAGCTCCATGCCAGGCTCTAAAGAGCCAAGTGCCGGCTCAAAAGAAGAGTCAGGAGAAACACTTCACCGTCTTTCCCGGGTAGAGCCAGCCAAGTCTCACTCAGCAACAAAACCAGTATGTTTTCCTCATTATGCCTCATGCTGTTTAACACCAAGTAAAATGCAAGAACCAGACACCGATGAACACTTTCAATCCAAACTCTAAGTCAGCCACAGCCACTCTTACGGTCTCTCAAGAGGCTCACAGTACCGCATGCCAAGGACTGGTGTACTCTCAAAAATCCTAGGAGCCAACTGTTAATTTATTTACTCAACAAACTATTATATGCCAGGTACCCCTACTAGGTACTGGAGACAGAGCTGTGAACACGACAAGCACAGGCCCTTCCCGCGGGAGGCTTATACTCTGTCAAATTATGGATTGTGTTGAAGTTTATAAAAACATACAGGGGCGCCTAGGTGGCTCAGTCAGTTAAGTGTTTGACTTCAGCTCAGGTCATGATCTCATAGTTTATGGGTTTGAGCCCCACGTCAGGCTCTGTGCTAACAGCTCAGAGCCTGGAGCCTGCTTCAACTTGGGTCTCCCTCTCTCTCTGCCCCTCCCCAACTAGAATTCTGTCTCTCTCTCTCTCAAAAATAAACACTAAATTTTTTTTTTTTTTTTTTTTTTAAACCCATGCCAGGGGCGCCTGGGTGGCTCAGTCAGTTGGGTGTCCAACTTCGGCTCAGGTCATGATCTCACAGTTTGTGAGTTTGAGCCCCGCATCAGGCTCTGAGCTGATAGTTTATAGCTCAGAGCCTGGAACCCGTTTTGGATTCTGTTGTCTCCCTCTCTCTCTGACCCTCCCTGCCTCACACTCTGTCTCTTTCTCTATTGAAAATAAACAAATAGGGGCGCCTGGGTGGCACAGTCGGTTAAGCATCCGACTTCAGCCAGGTCACAATCTCGCGGTCCGTGAGTTCGAGCCCCGCGTCAGGCTCTGGGCTGATGGCTCAGAGCCTGGAGCCTGTTTCCGATTCTGTGTTTCCCTCTCTCTCTGCCCCTCCCCCGTTCATGCTCTGTCTCTCTCTGTCCCAAAAATAAACAAACGTTGAAAAAAAAAAAAAGAAAAGAAATATTAAAAAACAACAACAACAACAAAAAACCATACCAGCTGTTAAGTACTGTAGACTTAAAACGAATGACAACTTGTATAAGAAATGACAGGAAATTTTTAACTTGCACCAGACCTTGCCATTTAGACCTCCAATACAAGCCATTACTGTCACTGATTTTCCAAATAGCCCACGTCAACACATGATTAGCTTTGATACCAGTCGAAATGATAGCTTTAACCAGATCTGATGGACCATGTTTCACTCTCAAACACACAACCAGGTTTGAGGGTACTTTGTAGTTTGCAGCTCCATCCCTAGAACTGAATGCTTTACTGGGCTCTCTTTATAATTAAATATAGCCTCTTTCTTTCCTAACCTTAAAAAGCTCCAAAAGATACACACCTTATTGTTCTCGTGATCTCCACTCACCGCTATGGGATACATAACATATTTTCCTCCCTGGTCCTCATTTGGGGCACATTCCGCTAGGCCATCCGGATCATGTTCTGCTCCAAAATTGTGTCCCAATTCATGAGTTGTAACCAGGTCAGCTTCCTTAAGGATCGTGCAAAGAAAACATTACTTCCTGATATCCAACCATCAGCTGCATTGGCCAGCTAGGCCGTGATTTCTTAAATGGGGTCTTGATTAATGCGATCAACGACAGAGTATCAGTTGGACTGCGGGAGTTGGGAGTGTCTGCATTGAAGGGCCCAGCACAGTGCAATAAAATACCTGCACCAACTATAACATCGTGGCCAAACTACCAGTGTATCAGATCAGCATTTCCTATCAATATCCATTCTCCCCTTCCTAATCCCACTCAGGCGGCAATACACTCAACTAAAATAAACCACCTTTCCATATGTCCTTGAGGGTAGGTCAGCCTCGTGACTGGTTCTGTCCAGTGGGATATAAACAGAAGCCAGTGGGTGGGACTTCCACAGAGAAGCTTCTGGAAAGGGACAGACTAGGCTTTGTCCTCCTTTCTGCAACACAGAAGAGAACCACCTTGTGAGCAGGAGATGATAAGCAGGAGGACAGAGGCCTGTGCTCAGAGTGGCTGAGTGAAAACTGGAAACATCCGGGCTCCCTGAGGGCATCACCGAGCTGCTACAGCACCCACAGGATGCTATCCATGACCTTGTCGTTGACTGAGGCAAATACCCCTATTATTTAAGTCAATGTTTATTGGCTTTTCAGTTGTATGGATTTGCTGGAATGTGCCTTACCCATTCCTAATGGATCTATCTGGGCAAAAACAAGATCCTAAAATCTTCTAGAGGAAAAAACTGGTCACATACAAAGGATAAAAAATCGGAATGACTTCAGATTCTAATAGTAACACAAAACAGTAGAAGATAATGGAGCGATGCCTTCAAGCACTGAGAAAACTTAATTATCAATCAAGTTTAAGAGTAGGGTAAAGACATTTTCAGATATGTAAAAATCTCAATTTGCCTCTCACGTATGCTTTCTTGGGAAGCTCTGGAACATACGCTACACCAAAATGATGGTATAAATCAACAGGGGAAGAAGATGAGGTTCAGGAAATGACGGAGTATGGAGAGGTCTTCAAATGACAGCTACACAGCAGGACCAGGAGCCTAGGAGCCACAGGATGAAGAGTTCGGGGCAGGGCCGGGGGGCGGGGGGGGGTGTCTTTAGGAGAAACAATGGCCCTGGGTAGGGGGGTCTCAAAAGAAATCTCACAGGTAATTTTATCTTTTCCTTTGTATTTTTTATTTTCACATTTCCCACCAAAACACATGTTATTCTTTTAGGTGGAAACAAACTAACAAAAGCATGTATTAGTTTTCTAAAAGATACCTACGTAAATATATAAAGTTGAGGTTCTACCACAATGAACTCCAAATCTATCCTTTTAAAAAATAAGACAACATACCTTTGTGAGGATGGTTTTACCATAATTTTTTGTGCTGGTCAAACCACTATTCAAATAGATATTCTTCTTTCCAATTGGACTATAGTAAGCTAGAGGACAAAGGAAACAGAGACAGATTGCTCATTTAACACAGAACTACAATACAATCTACTCAGTCTGCCATTCTCACACAGCCGCACAACAAATGGAAACTTACCCTTTGGACAAACACCTCCGTGGCTGTTTGCTCTGGGAGAACCAACGTAAGCTAATCCAAGAGTTCCCATATCAAAATCTTGATAGGTGAAAAGATGTGCGAGGCAGACTTTAGATGCTTCCTCAGCTATATCAAAGCTAAATTGCTTTAAGAAAAACAAAGCATTCTTAATTAGATTAACAACGACATCAGGCTAAAAGACGTTTCGGCCAGACACTGGGGAACGGTAACATACGACTGACTGCACCTCTGCTTCAGCCCACGAAACTGAGTACAATTACCTACACTTCTCACCCACCTGCACACGTTAAGGAACGGAGTGCTGTCTAGGCAGGGAGGAGGGTATGATAGGGAAGAGCTTGGCAGCTTGTTAGAACAGCTCAAAACTAAGAGGGCTAGTGTGGCCCTGAAGACATTCCACTTCTGTCAGTCTCAGTGCTCGACTATTCCCTTCAGGGGATGTAGAACCTCATACCAAAATGGATCCCTCTAAAGTATTTCAAGGATTCTATTGGTTTTATAGGGTTTTTCCCCGTATTTATTTTTGGTAATCTCTACACCCGACATGTGGCTCAAACAACCCCAAGATTAAGAGTCGCATACTCTTCTGACTGAGCCAGCCAGGTGCCCAGGTTCTGCAGGTTTTTCTTTCTTTTTTTTTTTTAATTTGCTTTGGTTTTTCAGCCTCCAGAACTATGAGAAATAAAATTCTGTTAAGCCCCCTGGTCTGTGGTGCTTTGTTACTAGCAGACCTAACACACTAACTCACTTGGTGAGCCTCTTTAGAAGTCAACGGTGCTAGGGGCACCTGGGTGGTCCAGTCAGTTGGGCGTCCCACTTCAGCGCAGGTCACTATCTCACGGCTCATGGGTTCAAGCCCCGCATCGGGCTCTGTGCTAGCAGCTTGGAGCCTGGAGCCTGCTTCGGATTCTGTGTCTCCCTCTCTCTCTGCTCCTCCCTGGCTCGCACTCTGTCTCTGTCTCAAAAATAAACAAACACCAAAAAAAAAAAAGGGGGGGGGGAAACAGTGCTGTCTCAACCTCTGGGATGGCAGTGAAACACAGCAGATAAGGCATGTAGGGTACTATACGATGAAGCACTCCATCGATCTCAACTTGGATGAAGAGTTGGGAATATCCTTTAATTCAAGCTTTGAAAACTTAATTTTTGCCTTGTGAGACTGATGAGCCACGCTATGCATGGCCTAACCCATGGAAACTATTAGATAAATAAGCATTGTTAGAAGCTGCTGAATTTGCAGTAATTTGTGAGAGCAACCATTGGACACCAATACACTTACTAACATATTAAAGATCACTATCACTTCATAGAAGGTCATTTTACCACAAAGCAATAGCATATACAAACCCAAGACACTGAAATCATGTGGCAAAAAGGATCAATCATACCCTGTCAAGAATCCAAATGGCAGAAAATGATTAGGCTACCTTTAGATTTATCACCAGAATAAAGACACAAAGATTTTTATTTTTTTCCAGTGTTTATTTTTTTGAGTGAGAGAGACAGAGAGCAAGCAGAGGAGGGGCAGAGAGAGAGATAGAGAGACACAGAATCCAAAGCAGGCTCTAGGCTCTGACCTGTCAGCACAGAGCCTGATGTGGGTGGGGCTCAAACCCAGGAGCCGTGAGATCGTGACTTGAGCCAAAGTTGGCTGCTTAACTGACAGAGCCACCCAGGTGCCCAAGATACAAAGATTTTTAAATCCTGTAGAAAACTTTCAGATCTCCAAGTTATATTTCTACTAATACACTGTCACACTGTTTGACATGTCCTGGCCTAGGAGATCTACTGATGAGTTTCAAAGAAACCTGCACAAAACGGTGTGCAAAAAATGTACATATTGGGTATCCATCTACTTTCTAAAGTCCCAATACTTCACTAGGTTCTCAAAGATACTAAGTTTAAGAAGCACCACTCTCAAGCATTTTTCATTTTTACAACTTTTTGGCCCATTGTGCTGTCTGCCCGGCTGCAGGGGTGAGGTCACTGCTGGATCGGGCGGGGGGGAAGCTGCTCCTGATTTTCAATAACCTTTGTTGATGCGCCCCTTCATTAATGCAGACACACCTCGTGTATTAGGAACTGGAAAGGATGCTCACAGGGTCCCACTAAGGATTCCACCACCTACCTCTAGCAACATCTTCACATCCCAAGCATCCTTTTCTTCATTTGGATAACTTTTTGCCATGTTATAGTGCCTTTCACCAGGTTTCACATCTTGTGGAGACTTGAGAATGCGAATCTATACTTAAAGAGACGATACACTTAGAACACTTCAGAAAAAAGTCAGAAGACTCTGAAATAATACTGCACTGTTTTAGCTATTCAAAATAAGATCACCTACCACTCTAGAAACAGTGTTTTAAACCCAAGTTCCATAAGATTCTTCAGCTCTAATATTCAATGTTTAAAAACAAACTGAGAAGCATATGGTATGGAAAATATGTAGGTCAGTGAATGATTTATCAATTTGTAAATGTGCTTCTAAACTCTTACTTCCTTGGCATTGAGGAGGGCACCTGTTGGGATGAACACTGGGTATTGTATGGAAACCAATTTGACAATAAATTATATGTAAAAAAATATGCTTACTTCCTCTATATTTGGTCTGATAAAATGAGAACTTGGGTTCTATGAGCCTAAAATATTTATTCCAATATAATCAATGATTCAGAGACACAGAACAATTACATGTCTATCATTGCAGAGGAATAAAAGATTATAAAGGACAGGGGCTTTTCCTTGCACATACAGTAAAAATTCATGTTAATCCTGCTTTAATAAAAAAGGGAACAAAGGGTTTTCTCCAAAAGAAATGAAACGTTATCAACTGGTGAGTTTGTTTAGGAAAAAGAACTAAGCCATGCTCAGCTCAGCCGTTTCTGGCCTCTCTTCCGAATCTGCCTGCCTGGACAGAGTGTGTCTGGTCTGCCACCAAGCAGTAAGCTCACAGGGAAGGCTCTGCCTCTGCGGCTTTGGTGGTAGGTGGTCAAGATCAATTCTGGGATGAAATAGAGGGAAGCCCAGTGCAACTGCCCAGCTAAAAACCACATCCTCCGACCCAAGTGTCATCGTTATCATAAAGCTGAGATTTTTATCTCCTATAATGCACCTATTTTTCCAAGTGGTTCCAAGTTCTTAAGGCAAAAAAGGAGTTTTATTTCTGGGTTCCCTAAAACTTGAACACAATGCAGCTGTTTTAAACAAGTGAGGCAGCTTTATATGTACCATAACGGAATAATCGCCAACATATTCGCAAAATGAAAAAGCAAGGTGCGAGAGGAGAGCAGACCACCATGTGTCAAATACACACATACACATACACATGCCATACATGCACAAAGTACTTCTAGAACGATACTTATGAAACTCGTGACATGGATGGCTCTGGGAAGGGGCTGGCTTGACAGTGGGCAGAGGCTGAAGAGACTTACTTTTCACTGGCTTTTGTACCATGTGTATACATTACCTATTCAGATAATAACTTAAAACAAAATGCAAAACAGTAAAAGAGAATGGAAAAGGGAAAAATAATTCTCTTAGTTTTATACAAGTACTACAAACGTTTAACATTTATAAAGTATAGTATGATGCATGATTTCTAAAGTTTTTTTTTTTTTTTAAAGCTCTAAATTCTAGGCTATAGAACCTATAAGAATATAGCTAATTTAATACAAACAGCTTGGAAAAAATAAAGATAATTTACACATTAAAATATCTGTCGAAAGCAATAGCTGATTTCAGAAATCTTTTTAATCAGTCTTACCAATTTAAAACAATTTTTACTGCAAGATAAGATGACATTGAGATATCACTGCTGGACATACTCCATTGACAGACCATAAAAAATCAGAAGATTCTGGGGAAAAGAGA